AGGAGCAACTGTCTTTGGATGAGTTTTTGAAACGGTGCGCAGAAACGAAGGCAGCGGTGGAAAGGCAGAGGTAGCATACGGTTTTGCTGATTCGAATCCAACCTGTCTGTGAAAGCAAGCTTGTCAATAAGTTTCATACACCAGGAACTGGTCAAAACATACATACAACATGTACTTACTCTAAATTATTCTACCTAGAATATAGAACTATACTACAAGTCAGTGGCTTATTTGCGTCAAATCCATTATCCTCCTCTTAGTATATAATTACTATGTATACGAATCTACGATCGTGCAAGGCTGAGGTCCTATTCGGTCTTGCGGCATTGTCCCTTGGTGAGACTGGTGTGGTGATGTGTACTGCGCACGGGAAGTTGCGTTGAAGAACCAGAGCCCAGGCCCAGAGGCTGGGATCCAGTATGCATAGGAGGGACTTGTTTGGATCCAAACTGAGATTCCAAACAATTGTTCTAGACTCTTGCCACCATGCGCAGCGCTCCTGCTGTTCTTCTCTGACGCCTGGCATCGCCGTCCTTTTGCGCCCATACTCCTCAAGTTATCACCGTATACCCCGTGTGCTCCAATGGCAATATCTTGTCGCGTTTTTGAACGGAATCGAACTACAGTATTTGCTTCAAGTTCTATCCCCCCGTTTTTCGGACCCTGGGGGCCCCAATGCAGTACAAATTTACTGACCCTACTTCCCGCAAGTCTTAGACTTTGTCGTCTTTGCCAATATTCCGTGCAACGTTGGATTTTCGGGATTTCTCGGTCCTGACCCCATTCTTAACCATGCAGTGTCTTCCCAGCGTCCTCTTAGCGTCTTCCCATGTATAGTGGTAACCTGGGTCGCTGTGAACTTGCCCTCTTTTGCCAACGTTTCGCGCAACGTCGGACGTTCATGCCACCATCTGCAAAATACATTTGCTACCCTGACGACAGACTGCACTTGAGGTAAGCTACCAGGCAGCTCAATCGCGGTCATGGCAAGTACCCTAAGGCCACTAAACGGTGTCATATTCTCCTTTATGAAAACCACAAAAAAGCCTTGCTTTTGCTTCAGACCCTGGCCATTCTATTATGTATTCCCTTCAAAGAATACGCTCGGTCAGTCCCAATCCCTCGCTCTCCAACTTTTGTCTAATCGGATCGCAGAACTCTTTCGAGTACGGCGCGTGGACGCCGGGGGTGCCGAATACACCGTCCAAGACCAGCTGGGTCGCGATTCCGCACGGGAGGCCGACCGTGCGCGCCATGGCGGAATGGCCCCCGGGAGTGCCGTACTCTTCGAGTGTCGTGGTGAGCGTCTCCTGCGCTCCAGATGAGCTCACAAATCACAGGGTTAACAACGAGAAAACGGACCTGCTTGCCGTCCTCCCACTCGACGACAAACTTTTGCTGCAGGAGGACGAGATCACGCTCCCCCGGCTGGTACTTCATAAGCACCTCGAGGTGCCCACAGAGAGTGTCTAACAGGGTGCCCCCGCGCACCGGGACTTTGTCCGTCGAGAATAGACCCATCCACCGCATGCCCGAGATGATCCTGTCGCTTTCTGCCTCGGAAGGGAACGCGCATACCTCCTTTATGCGCGCGACGATCGCGCTGGTGCGCGAGTATGTTAGTACGCTTACAAAGTGCACGACAGGGGGAAGGCGTACTCTTCGTCACTTGCGCTCGCGCCGCAGGCCCGCTGCGTCACCTCACGCCACGCCAGCCCATCCACAAGCCACGCCTTCGTGTCGGCCGCGAGCCATCCGAGCTTGACGAGCGCCGCCATGAACGCAGAGAAGCCCGCGTAGCGTAGCGTGCCGCGGACGACTGTGTGCGCTTCAGGGATGCGGTAGAACTCGCGGAACGGCACAGAGTCGCGGTTGGGGAAGGCCTCGAGCGCGGGGCCAAAGGGCGGGATGGTGCATGGCTGCGCGCTCGCCATGAGATCCGCACCCGCGATGTTTGTGACGGCGCCGTTGGCAAGGAAGGACGCGGAGTTGAGCAGCGCGAGGAGCCCACCGCGCGGGGACCACGAGAACTTGTATCCGAGGGGATTGTCCGCGCACTCGGGGGCTGGGAGGGCGCCGCAGAGGAGGTGGAACTCTTTGACCTGGCGGAGAGTCAGACAACCGACGCGAGTCGAGCTAGATGCCGCACCTTGCCGCCCTTGGCGTGCACGGCGTCGATGACCTTCACGGCGTACAGATGGTCGATCCCGGGGTCAAGTCCAGCCTCGTTCAGCACGACGATGCCCGCGGCGCGCGCGGCACTATCGAGGGCGCGCAGAGCGGGGGAGATATACGAGGTCGTGACGACGTGCGTCTTGCCCTTAATCGCGGCCTGGACGACGGCAGCGTGGTACGTGTACGGGACGAGCGAGATGACCAGGTCGTGCGACGCGACGGCGGCGTCGAGTGCGGCGTGGTCTGCGGCAGCGACGTCGAGCACGAGGGGCGTGGCCCGCGGGAGGTTCGCGCAGAACGCGGAGGCCGACGCAAGGGTGCGGCAGGCTGGGGGCGCGTCAGTTCAGGTGTGCTCGTGTTCGGGGAGAGGACTTGCCGACGGTGAGCGCGTTGGCGGGATCGCGCGCGAGGTACTCTGCACAAGGGCCAGCTACGAAACCGCTCCCCAACAAGAGAATTTTTTTGGGTGAGGCCATTGGGGCTGACGCGTCGCGTCGCGTTGTTTTATCTGGGTTTTCGAGTGAGTCAATTCGAGTCAGAGATAAATATAGATCAATGTCCTTTCTTCTTTTCAGAAACGGATCAGGCCTTCCGTAACGCAATACTCACTTGTCGCGTTACGTCCCCTCGACATTGCGCAAGAAAGAAAGAGAGTCTTCCAATGCATTCTCAGTCGTGCTCGCATTGCACCATTTTTACTTTTTTGTTCCGAAACGATGCCCCAGCCGTGCGTCTGATGATACATTTTTTCTGACGGCCCACTCCGAGATCTGTCCCAGACTGTCAGAAGCCACGGTCGACCTTCTGAACAACCTTTTTATTCTCTGTTTACAAATTGATTCACCAACTCTCTGGTTCCGTGCGCTCAAGCTTTTAGTATTCAGAGCGTCTAAGATGGGTGAGTGAAGCCAACCAAACACGAACGTGTTTGCTCTGGAATATTGATCCAGAGCTGTGGATTCAAAGCGATTCGAGATTAAATCCAGAACGATTTCCCCCCCATTTAAACAGTGTGTTTTCATGTGGTCTCTCGGTTACTTCGCGGAGGTGCTGTAGGTTTGGTTGAAGCGACGAAGATGGGTCTGAATAAGCTGAACCGCGAGAAAACTGCAATACCACTCTACTACAAACTCAGATTCCTATATATCTATGTATCTATCTGTGTAGTGTTGGGGCTTCAGAAGTTGAACCAAGTAAAAAAATCAAATCAAACCAAATCATGGCCCGACCCCGAGTCGAACGGGGGATTTCCTCAGGAACGGCACACAAGACCAACCTATGATTGTGGAGGACGTGTTGACAGTACACCACCGGGCGTTGTGTTACGGTGAGTAGTATATACATAGCTGTGGGTGTTGAAGTTTGGTCGAGATTGAACGTTTTTTTTGGGGGACTCAGCCAATTGCATTGAAGGTTTCTTTCTCAGGCTAGATCTGTTTTGTAGAATATAAGTACCAGAGTATGTATGACTCCAAGACCAGGCTGAAATCATCAGAAAAGGAGTTGCCGAGGGGATGAACCGAGCAAAAAAAGGACATCGCAGAATGTTCATCGGCCAAGCCCCGACCCCGAGTCGAACAGGGAATTTCTTCATGATTACTGTCCTCGCAATTTCAGATGCGTTGACAATACACGTGTACTGTTGGGGATGCAGTGAGTAAGTGTGAGCAGTTGGTTGGAGCAGTGGGGTTGAATATCCTTTTGGAGGGGAGGAGGAGCCACTAGCGTCCTCGGAGGAGACCTCAGGCCAGAGTAGTAATACAATATAATCACAGGTTGAAACCCCCAAAAAGGATGTGCGAGGATGAGGGTGAAGTAAGAAAAACTGGAAAATTCAAGTACAAGGCCCGACCCCGAGTTGAACGAGGGATTTCCTCTGATGTTCGAAACGAAATGAGATAAAATCATGAGGACGTGTTGACACTACACCATGGGGCACTGCATACTTTTGGTTGTGCAGTGATTATAATACGGCTGTACAACTACAAGCGAATTCAACCATGAATTGAAGATTGGATTGTTTTGGGGGTGTGCAGTATAAGTAAATCTAGAGTTCTAAACAGATCTTAGACTGGTGTCGAGAAATCTTGTAAGCAGGGCGTACCGGAGTTGGACCACTTTTCAGAAAGAAAGAAAAATCTCTCAAATACACAGCCCGGCCCCGAGTCGAACGGGGAATTCCAATTTGAGAGGATGTGTGACAATACACCACCAGTCCACCGGGCACTCCATACCATTGACTAGATAGGGTTCTTTATAGGTGTTGGAACAGAATATGATTATATGGACCCGCATTACACCGCGATCGGGACCTGCCGAGAGGTTGAACCAAGCTTAGAAGAAAAAAGAAAGAAAAAATCGATGCAAGACGTACGCCTAAGGCCCGGACCCCGAGTCGAACAGGACATTTCCTCGAGAATTCAGGTTCAAATGAAATTGAGAGGACATGTTGACACCACCAAGCGCTGTACACCACTGACTAGGTAGGGGTAGCTGTGGGTGTTGGAACACAATATGATTGGATCGTACACCGCGCTGCCAAGAGGTCGAACCAAGCTTAGAAGAAAAAAGAAAAAAAAATCGATGTAAGACACACGCCTAAGGCCCGGACCCCGAGTCGAATGGGGCATTTCCTCGAGAATTCAAGTTTCATGAAATTATGCAGGAGGACGTGTTGACAATACACCACTGGGCACTCCATACCACTGACTTCGTAGGGGTCGTTGTCGGTGTCGGAACAGAGTACGATTAGACGTACACCGCGCTCAGGAGCTGCCAACCAAGCTCAGAACAAAAAAAGAACAAAATCGGGACATCCTAGACTAAGGCCCGACCCCGAGTCGAACGGGGCATTTCCTCGAGACTACAACGACATTATCTATAATAAGAGGACGTGTTGACGATACACCACCGGGCATTGCATACTGTACCTCTGATTATGCCTTGTGCAGCAATTAGTAGTGGGTGTTAAAACAAGTTTGCGCGTGGAGTTGGATTGATTTTGTTACGCGTCAATTACGTCGAGGACGGCTCCCAGAAGCGGGATAGTGATCCTCGCCGAATTTATTGAGGAGATTGGACGCAAAGGAGCCCGGGACCTGGAAGGAAAGACGAGTTCCAGAGGCTCAGAAGAAGAATTGGAAAATAAAAAAATTCGCCACTCGAGTCGAACGGCCCGACCCCGAGTCGAACGGGGCATTTCCTCCAGAATGCAGACATCGAAGCAGCTCACAAATTCTGAGGATGTGTTGGGACTACACCACCGGGCGTTGCATACCATACCTCTGATTATGCCTTGTGCAGCAATTAGTAGTGGGTGTTGAAACAAGTTTACATGTGGAGTTGGATTGATTGATTTTTTTACGGGACGTCAAGGAGGGAGGGTCCACGGACTGCTGCTGTTGGCACATTTAGACGAGAGTTCGAGTTGGCCCGAGTCTCTTGGACCGTGATCCTCACCAAATTTATTTAGGAGATTAGACGCAAAGTAGCCCGGGACGCGGAAGGAAAGAGTAGAGGTCGAGTTCAGGACCTGCCGAGGGCTCAGAATCAAAAACGTAAACTCACCAAACAAAGGCCCGACCCCGAGTCGAACGGGGCATTTCCTCGAGTCGAGCGCCACTATCTATGGTAAGAGGACGTGTTGACAATACACCATCAGGCGTTGGGTTCCATACCTCTGATTATGACTTGTGCAGCAATTAGTGGTGTTGGAACAGGTTTGCGCGTGGAGTTAGATTGCTGTTTTTTTCGCGTCAATCACGTCGAGGACGGAGGCCTGATTCTGTTGGCACATTTAGACGAAAGGATGTTATGGACTCGCGCGTACTTGACGACCGAAACGAAAAAAAAAAAAAACGAAAACTTGAAAAAGGCCTGACCTCAGATTGAACGAGGAACTTCCTTTGACAGTTTACAGAACCATATCTAAATCACAAGGATGTGTTGCCATTACACCATCAGGCCGACACGAATGTTGGACAAGAAGCTGGCTGTGTTGTGGAGTTCGAGCTGGTCTCTCGGAAGCGGGACAGTGATCCTCGCCGAATTTATTGAGGAGATTACATAGACGCGAAGCAGCCTGGGACCTCGAAGAAAAGAGAGCAGAGTAAGCGCAGACATTTTTGTTTTCTTCGCGTTCCACGACAGCTCTGGATGGAAGTCTATGGACGAGACAAGGTCGAGGTCGCGAGAAGTGGTGAGAATGATTACGTGATCTTCGGTGGCAGTGCACACCTCTCTGCAACGACCCACGACGACGACGGCGTAGCCTCCCCGTCCCTTCCTCTCGCTGCTGTCATGTCCTCCTCCGTCTCCGCCAACTCGAACTCGAACTCGAACTCGAACTCTGCCTCCAACTCTGGCTCCAACTCTGCCCCATCCCAGCCACCGCAAACTGCCTCCAACGCGCCGTCCATCGCCCAGACGGACCCCGCAGGCGGCGTGACCATCACCCAGCCCCCGCAGACCGCGACCTCTTTCTACAAGATCGCACCGGGCAACTCCATCACCATCGGCTGGAACTTTACCTATGTCATCGCCACCCCCACCAGCCTCACCCTCAGCGCCGTCTGCGACAACGGGAACACCTACCCCGTCGGACCCGACCCGAGCGGACACCTCCCCGGCACGGCGACGCAGGTCGTCTGGGATATCTACTCGTACCAAGAGGTCTGTCTTGAAAAAAATTATGACGTGGATTGGAATTGATATCGTTTTCCGTGCGAATTCAGGCCCACTCAGCGACGCCGCTGCCGCAGACGTCATGCACGCTGCATATGTGGGACGACCGCGGGCCGACGGCGACCCAGCGAGCCGGGTATATGAGCCCCAATACGGCCCTCGCCTTTGCGCTGTATACCCCGCAGGCGTATACACCGTTAGCAAGTGGTGAGTTCGCCTTTCCAATCTACCTCCCTTGCCCTCCGTCCTTCTTGAGCCCGCACTTGGGTCTTCATGGACTTATATCCCTCCCTCCCTGTCCTTTTCTCGCCCGCCTCCCCTCCCGTCTCCCCTCTAGCCTCGCGTCCATCATTCCTTTCCACGTCTCTTCCTCCCCGTCCCGATACACTTCCTATACCACGCTGACATCACCCCCAGGCTGGACCTGCACAGGCTGCGGCGGCGCCGCCTCCATGCGCCCCATCGCCGGCGCAGGTATCCTCTTTACGATGCTCATCATGCTCGTCTCGGGGTGGCGCCTGTTGCGCAGGGTGTAGGCGTAGGCGTTTTCGCTCGCGTGCTTCCTCCTTCCGCCAATTCCGATTCCGCTTGCGTCGGGACTCGCGCGGATGCGGACGACTTTTGTTTTTTTTGCACGTTTTACATTTTAGTCAGCTTTTAGTTCCTCGTTGGTTAGTTAGTTTTTAGTTAGCATGTTAGGTTAGGTTTCGGACTCACGACGCACGCACGCACGCACTACGCATGGACTACGTATATGTAGATACACTGGCAGACAGACATTGGTATAAACGTAATTGGATGTGGATTATTAGAGCTTGAGTTTGTTTCAATGTATACTCCAGGGAGGGGAGTCGAGCATACGTGCGCAATGTGAAACAGAGGGACGGCCTGGTGGTGTAGTGGTAACACATCCTCTAAGAATGTATCTGTGTTGACGGCTATTTAGGAGGAAAAGCCCTGTTCGATTCGGGGTCAGGCCATTGCTGTCTGTGGCGTCTTTTTTTAGTTGACGCGACTCGTTAAGAAAAGAAATTATAAGCACTCTATACGTACTAATGGAGCTCTGCCAGTAAGAGGCAAGGCCTGGTGGTGTATTGGGAACACATCCTCTTCAATTACAATTGCACCATGAAGAATTGAGAGGAAGAACCCCGTTCGATTCGGGGTCGGGTCACTGGCCAATTCTTGGTGTCGGTCTATACTTTTTGAGTTTTGTGAGTTGAGTTTAGCTTTCCTCGCAAAAAAATTAGTACTCTGTAGCCAGACCTCTAACAGTGATAGGCAGGGCCTGGTGGTGTAGTGGTAACATGTCCTATGTTCATTAATGTAAGTTAAAGTGCGTAGAAGGAAGAGTCCTGTTCAATTCGGGGCCGGGCCATTCTGCTTTCTCATCATTTTTTTAAAAAAAAAATTATCAGTCGGTCACAAGAAAAGTCATGACAGTACTCTGTAGCCAGAGATCTGACAATGGTAGCCAAGGCCTGGTGGTGTAGTGGGAACATATCCCCTTACAATGTCCATGGATGATTTTAATTATTAAAGGGAAGCACCCCGTTCGATTCGGGGGCTGACTGTACGCAGTTCTTTTTTTTAGTTGGCGCGACTTCAGTCTTCATCTTTCCTCGCTAAGAAAAAAATTAAGTACTTTGTAGCCAGAGCTCTGCCAATAGGGCATGGCCCGGTGGTGTACTGTTAACACGTCCTCTTACCGTAAGTGATACTGTTCGCGTCTCGAGGAAATGCTCCGTTCGATTCGGGGTCGGGCCATAGATTTCTCTTTTTAGTTGGTGCGACTTCAGCTTTCCTCGCCAAAAAAATAAGCACTCTGTAGCCAGAGCTCTGACAGTGAAAGGCAGGGCCCGGTGGTGTATTGGGAACATATCCTCTTCAATTCAGGAAGTTCAGATGGTGGAAGTTGAGAGGAAGTACCCTGTTCGATTCGGGGCTGGGCCATTATACCGTTCTGTAGTAGTCTCGAACACAGCCCCTCATGACATCCCAATTCGGGAACCCTGTCATGAGGGTCTGGGCTGTAACCAGCCAAATAACCGTACATGGAGCTCTCGATTTTGGCATTTTTTGCGGTCTCGTTCGACCCATTCTCAACCGTTTTTCACAAAACCTTGGAGTATAATGTTGAGGTATATACCATTAGAACTCCTTTGAATATTTTCAAATTTATCTGAGACCCCATTTCAATCTACTGAAGGCCGCAAAGTTCTGGGGTCCTGGTCGGTGGCTGTGAACGCCGGTCTCTTGAGTGGCGAAAAGGCCGGGGTCCTGGTTTGAGAGCTCCATGTACGGTTATTTGGCTGGTTACAGCCCAGACCCTCATGACAGGGTTCCCGAATTGGGATGTTATGAGGGGCTGTGTTCGAGACTAGTTCTGTAGTTCTTTTTTTAGTTGGTGCGACTTCAGTGCTTCAGCTTTCCTCGCCAAAAAAAAATTAAGTCTCTGTAGCCGGATCTTTGAGACTGATAGGTAAAGCCTGGTGGATCAAGTTCAAACTACGAGGAATGAGCTTCGAAGGAGTCTGTCAAGAGAAACTAAGTTCAAGCGGAATCAGGATTATAATATATCGAATTTAGATTGGAAATCAGCCATTCTGGTGCATTGGTTGTTTTAACAAGAAAACCGTTGGAGTCTTCTTGACATCCCCAGAGGCCCACGTTGTTGACATTCATGATCAATGTTGAAGCTTGGACCGGAGACGTCGGCCCGTTTGTTGGGCTTGATCCGCAAGCTTGGTATCACAAAATTAACGATGCCCGTGATGTCGGCGTGCCACGGAGATCCGGAAGTGTTCGGCATTACGCGGCATCACCAGGCAATTGGCGACACTTTTGGATTGCGAACTTGGGACATAGGTCTACGTAGGCTTATTTTCGGAACCGGGAGTTTACGCGTAAGCAGCAGCTATATGCACCACGTAAACTGTTTGAAGTTGTACCGAACTGGTAAATTCAACTCGATAGTGGTACGGACCCGTAGCTGTTTTAGGTTTGATGAGCATTAGATCCAGCAGAGGCTCACCTTTGAATGTACAGAAATAACTCAGACACACAATCACAATGAGTGCCTATGTAAGTAGGTTTGATGTGAAGTTGAACTACTTATATTTGTGGTTGGGAAGAATCAAAGGTGTGTGCGCTGGCCTGCTTCGTGGTCGCAAAGCTGATAATCTGGTGCAAAGCCTTGGTCTGAAAACTGTGACTCTGACCCCCAAAATAAGTCACCTTGAGGGAGAACTTTGTTTCTGAGTACAATGACAAGCCTTTCGAGTCCGGGACATTAGAATTTAAAGTATCCCACATAAGACAAGGGAAGAGGAGCGGAGCTCGTAAGAGAAACAATACGCGCGATACCAGCAATGAAAGCGCGTCAGAATGTCAAGGCTGAAATCTCCATCCTGAGAAAAAAGGGCGACATTGGAATTCGGAATTCCTCGGAGAATCCGAAATTGAAGCAACTAAGTATATCTCAAAGACTATTTATCAAAAAGCAGCTGACATCGAATCAAGTCTCAACATTTCCACATGAGCCGCCACCGCAGTTCGGCGACGAGCGGCGGCTTGAAGGTGTACCACTTCGACTGTAGGTTCACCAATTTTCGACCGAGAAGACCGAGAAGTTTAGTTTCAAATTTAACGATTTCTGCACATATCAAAATCTAATATCACCTATCACTGAACCAGTGAGCCTACAGTCGAAATGGTGCAGTACATAGTTCCAGGGAGTCGGCGAACAAGTTCCTGGTACCGACTTAGGTACCAGGTCTCAGATCATCAAATCGAAACGGCCGCACGTGACGTAAAACCTACCCCTAGAGCTCAGGTTAGGGTCCCAACGTGAGGTTAGGTCTTATAACCTGGGGTTAGGGCTTCCTGCTTGCGGCTCCGAAACCTGTCTCCTGATATGTACTTACTACTTGCCTTTCGGGATTGACAAATCTCCTACACTACATAGATTCCACCCTCGCATTCCGCGGTAGACACGGTGCATCCGGTTCAAGCCCGGCACCAGATTGACCCCGGCACGTTTGCCGGTATGTGCCGCTCTTGTTGAGAAACACGGCACATTCATGGGGCCATGCTGTGCCGGCCTGCCGGTGTCATTGATACACGCCGTGCTGTCACCTCGGGTGATCAGCATTGTTCGGCAATGGCTGATGCTAGCGACCACTGCCAGCCACGAAGTTTCAATGGCGGCGCCGCTAAATCAGGAGATGGCATAGATAATTATCACACCAAGTGACGGAGGAGGATTCCGGAGTGAATATATTTTCTTATCACCGATGCTGCCGTTATGGAACGGTTGCGCAGTATAAAACCCGTTAGGCAGTAAGTAATCAGGAGCTGGCGGGAATTCGAGGTCGGAGAATCCATTCTATAGGACGGGCACAGCACGGCCGATGATCTGCGTGATAGGTGAGCCCATCTCACCGTGTTTGGTATGAAATTCCCAGTTGGTCCAAGCCTAGGATGATTTCAAGGAAACAGCACAGGAAAGGATCTCGAGGTGTGATAGGTGAGTTCATCTCACCGTGTTTGGTACGAAATTCCCAGTTGGTCCAAACCTAGGATGATTTCAAGGAAGAAGGCTGTGGGTTTCAATCAATCCTATCAGGATATTCCTGGAGTGATATCACTTACGCACAGAGAATTCATGTTCCGCATTTATCGAACAGCAGTACCCGGCCAGCTCCTCTGACTCGCCAGGTTGTTTATTTCACAGAACGAATGAGAAAGAAACCAAGATCAGGACCGAAGATTTCTTTTCCCGATGAAGCCGTTGAGCAAGTTGGGTGGGAGCGCCAGAAACACTGCTTACAACGGAGGCTGCAGATGATCTAGGATACTTTTGCACGGCCGTACAGATTGAGATAGTATGATCCATTTCTTCGGATCGCCGGCTGATTCATTCTCGATAGATTTGACGAGGACAGCTGTTTGCATCGGGCGAGGCTGTGAGCTGAGTTCACAGCACCGGTTCCTCAATTAAATGGGCCTTTTAGTTAGCTCAGCTTTTCTAAGTATGATAATACAAATAAATTGGCCCCAAACTCAATCTTATATGTCTGATTTGGGATCCACCCAAATCCGATATTACTCGTGTTAAGATACTTAGAGAAGTGGAGCTAACTAAAATGCGCACTTAATGCATTGGAAACACTTCTGATTGGCTCCTAATGAATTAAAATAGGCATTTTAGTTAGCTCCACTTCTCTAAGTATCTTAACACAAATAATACCGGATTTGGGTGGATCCTAAATCGGACATATAAAATTGAGTTTGGGGTCAATTTATTTGTATTATCATACTTAGAAAAGCTGAGCTAACTAAATGGCCCATTTAATTGAGGAACCGGCGCTGTGGTTATCATGAGGCCAGATTCCTCGAACCCAATCAGACAAAATCAGGTGCGCAGTCAGGCCATTTATTGTTCTTCGAGGCATCAAGATGGAGGTTGAGGAAAGAGAAGACCAAGGTGAGAATCGAAAAAGGCTGCGTCCGCCGTCATTCCTTCCTTCGTACTATTCAGGTCGCGAGTGACGACACAAAAGTTTTTTCCACCTCAACTTCAAAAAAGATCTGACTAGGGAGACTATGGTGGCTGAGCGCAACCTCACCGACTCATTACTGTTAGAATCTAGGGCTCAACACATCGCGCCACTATCATATTGTACTTACTGCAAAGAGTCACGCACCGCCTCACTTTGTGCGCAGTCAGCGATTTATTGCACATGCAGTGCGCACCCTTGATCATTGCCGACTGGCACATAGACGGCGTAGACCGACGTCTCGCAGATTGCTTTAGCATCAGAACCGCTTCTCAGATGGTTGGGATCGAATCTGCTGCGCCTGGATCGGCGGTACCTGCCTTTCGTTTGAACTGCCAGGAAGGCCCCTGCGCACATCTACAGTTGTGGACAAGCAAAGTCCACCAAAAAAAAACATGACTTTTGTAGGTGAGATGAGTATGCCAATCGATAGATCTCGTCGAGAGCTTCCTGGCCATATTTAATTTAAGTCAATCTGTCGAGCCGTTCCTCGGCAAATCGCGATTTAGTACATCAGACCATCAAAAATTTTGGCGTCGCTTAAAATTGATGGGAAAAACCTCGGAGGGGGTGCAATCGAAAGCTCTCGTCGATACGGTTCTGAATCTGCAACAATCTGGAAAATCCATCGTGCCGTTCTCGCGCAATTCAATGATCTTTATTTGTCACCTGATCAGTCTGCTGATCAAAAGTTTGAATGTCCCGCCCGAGTTCCGCCCGACCAGCTATCTCTTATCACACCAGCGTCTCTTGTCCTCTACCACCATGGCTGGAGGCAAACCACGCACTGGAAGACCACCCAAGCGGGCTAAACACAATATTAGTGGACTCAGGAACCAGGGATCTAGGCAATCATCTTCCTCTGCGGCACCCACTCGGGACCCAAGCCCTACTGACTCCGATGACATTGGAGACTATGTAGACTCTGGAGACTCTGAGGCTATGAATCTCTTGGAAATAGACAGTCTGATGTACCTGGAGGTTGACTCTGACCAGGATGATGATGATACCGAAGCAGACTGGGATGAAGTTGCAGATGAAGATTTCCAAGAACGCTTGCTGGAAATGATAGTCAAGATGGAGGAGGATCGCAGAGATGCTGGAGATGATGATTGGATTCCAACCCGACAAGCTGCTGAGGCAAAAAGACGTAAACCTGAAGGTCAATTCTATTGAACTGTGCAGGTATTCATTTTATTCATTGTC